AAAAAAAAAAAAAATACTTGGGAAAGTTGGTATATTGGGCAAATGATGAATCCAAATGATATAACACAAAGCCAGGAGTGAAGTCAGAATATAAGTTCACATTCTAAAGATTTCTGCATTTTCTGAAAAAGGACACAAATTTGATGCTGATCTTTCTAGCAAAGCAGGAAACCTAATTAATTACATGAGTCACCATATTCATGAGACAAAACAGATTAGTTGCTCAGAGGACAGCTATTTTTGGTATTGAAACCAAAGGAAAAATTTTCCCATATCTTAAAAAAAGAGGACACTATCCTATAGTTCTCCTCAAACTTGAATACCTATGGGTCCCTTTAAGGGGAAAAACATTTTTTTCAGGCACAAGATTCCAAAAATCCATAGACTCCAGGAAAAAAACTCAAGTCTTAGAAAATTTCTGTCAGTTGCAAATTATTAGTTTTTTATAAAACAGATGTTTTATTTTTCTAAATATTAAAAGAGCATTTTATCCTCATATTGAACATATAACATATAAACATTATCCAGAATTTGTGTAGTCCTGATTTTACTGAGCTCTTAGACTACTTGTAAAACATTGTTATATCCATAATGGAATGAAAAAACCTCAGTGATAGTTACAATATTTGGATTTCGTAATGTGTCATGGTGTAAGTTAATAGCACAAGTCCAGAAGATGATTCCATTTAAGTAAATCTATGGAGCATATGAAATCAGTCCTGTTCATATATAGATTGTTCATCCTTTAGGCAGTTCTCCTTAAGTATTGTTTCAAAATGTTCTTTCATAAATTATTAGCAACAGTGGGGCACCTGTGGCTCAAGGAGTAGGGTGCCGGCCCCATATACTGGAGGTGGTGGGTTACAACTTGGCCCCAGCCCCCCCCCCAAAAAAAACTGCAAAAAATAATCAGCAACAATGTGCTTGGAGCTCAGTTTTGCTTGATGAGTATCTTATGAGCTCTTATTTTGCTCTGCCCCTCACGTGCAGAACTGTGACAACCAGTTCACAAGGTAAAATTGACATCCGTCTTTTGACAGCTCAGTGGCTTCTTCCTCTCCAGCAGGCCAAGAATCAGACTAAATTAATGCCACTCTCAAGAAGCAATGTCAGATTTTTTTTTAGCACACAAATGAAAAAAAGATAAAGACCCCAAAGTGTTGTATCATAGAGGATAGCAATAATTCTTTTAGCCTAGAAAAACAGTATAATGCAATCAAAACCAAATGCCTATCCTGGCAATATTTTTTAAAAATCTTAGTACAGCCCATAAAATATTATAACTTACTAACATACTTACTGAAGTAACTCTTTATAAAATGTATATTGAATTACCTGAGTAAGTTAACTTGTTGTTTTGTTTTGTTTTTTTTTTTTGAAACAGAGTCTCAGTCTGTCACCCTGGGTAGAACATGCCATGGGGTCACAGCTCACAGCAACTTCATACTCTTGGGCTCAAGAAATCCTCCAGCCTCAGCCTCCTGAGTAGCTGGGACTACAGGTGCCCACTACCACACCCAGCTAATTTTTCTGTTTTCAGTAGAGATGGGGTCTTGCTCTTGCTCAGGCTGATCTACCTTGGCCTTGGCCTCCCACAGTGCTGATATTACGGGCATGAGCCACTGCTCTTGGCCACTGTTTTCTATTGGTAGTCATAGGAGAGTTAAATGTTAGACAATGACCAGATTTAGAATAACTTTTTGGAGTCCTTCTATTTGAAGTAAGTACATCCTATATATAGCTATCTTACAGAGTCTTTAGGCAACATGATATCTGCACAGGATACTTACACACTTGTACTCTGTGTTGAGGAAAGAGGAGGGCAGAGAAGGGAGAAAATAGGTAAAATTTTATCTAGCTCACTCCAAAGTGGTACCAAGTCACTAAGGTGCAAGTTAAAAAGAAGACTGTCTAAAACACATTTCTGTTCTGTTTCACTGGAAATTACCTGAGACCTGAAAAGATAGCATCAACTATTCAACTCCCAATACTGTTACAGGGCAGGGATGGTAAGTAAGCATTAATAACTGCAGCTATTGAGAAAGTTTGTGCCACTTAGTCCATAGCTAGGTAGTGTTCAGAGTCAGAACTCAAGTAGAGCTAGTAAAATGGGTAAATGTTTAGTGTTAGTCATAATAAATTGCTCCACAAGGAGAGGAGGAGTATAACGGACAGAGACCACCATGTTGAGCATTGGCATTAGCAGCCCAAGTTATGGGTTCTTTTTTTTTTTTCTTTTTAGAGAAGAGTCTCACTTTGTCACACTCGGTAGAGTGCTGTGGCGTCACAGCACACAGCAACCTCCAGCTCTTGGGCTTAGGCGATTCTCTTGCCTCAGCCTCCCGAGTAGCTGGGACTATAGGTGCCCACCACAATGCCCTCCAGTTTGGCTGGGGCCAGGTTTGAACCCACCATCCTCAGTATATGGGGCTGCCATCCTACTCACTGAGCCACAGGCGCCTCCTGAAGTTATAGGTTCTTAACAGGGAAACAGACCTTCCCCCATGTTCATTTTGGATGGAATGTTAGGCTTGTTTATATAATAAAATTTTATGCATCAGTTAAAATGAGTGAACTAAGCTCCATATGTCAATGTGGAGAAGCCCCACAAACATGAATTGAATACATAGTACACCACTTTTATTTATGTATACACATATGTAATAAAAATAAAAGTAAAAAACTGTGAGAGAGAAGAATACACATCAGTTTTATGGCACTTCCCCCTGGGGAAGAAAAGAATGTGTTAAGATTGAGAAAGGGTACTTTCTCTTAGTTATATGTTTTTCCTTAGAAAATTCAAGCCAGGGCTCGGCGCCTATAGCTCAACCGGCTAAGGTGCCAGCCACGTACACCTAAGGTGGCGGGTTCGAATCCCC